TATTTTTCTTTTTCTTTTTCGCGGCACATGGAGCTTAAGCAATGAACGCATCTTTTTGTGTCCTCCATGTAACGCTGTATAATCGGCGAATATTTCACAGGAACGACGCTAAATATGTGCTATAGAGGGAGTTCCTTTTTTTTTTCTTTTTAGCTTTCCCAAACTTATGTTGTATTGCAAAACTATTTGTACGTATAACCCTAAATGGTAATTTTCCCCATGTGGCTGATTTTTTTTTTTTTTTTTCTGTCCATTCGTGCTTTACACCCTGCGTTTTACAGAAAACGTGCAAAGCGTAAATGAAGAAATATACAGACAAATTTTTAATTATAGTTGTGTCAACATTTCGCGGTGATCTGTTTTTGTTTACTCCCCGTATGTTGCTTGTGTGTGGCGCGTAAGTCCACGTCTGTGCATGTGTGTTAGCTCGTTCATACGTATGAGTGTGTGTAAATATCTTTATTTGTGTTTTTTTTTTTTTTTTTTTCATTTGTGAGTAAAAACTCGTGTAAAATGTCACATGAACAAAGAAATAACAAAATCGGGGGAAATAGAATATAGGCTCAGCATTATTTCTGTGCGCACTTGTATGCATTGAAGTTGCAAATTGTACAATAAAGGGAAAAAAAAATAAAAGGATACATTATTACCAAGTGACATTCTTGCAAATTCAAATGTGCGCCGCGTCGCTAGCGAGTTTCCACGAGCACGTTGGCTCGTTTAGTCTTTTACCTATTTCAACATTGGAACATTTCAACACTTTACTGTTTTAATTTTTTTTTTTTTTTTCTGTCCATTCGTGCTTTACACCCTGCGTTTTACAGAAAACGTGCAAAGCGTAAATGAAGAAATATACAGACAAATTTTTAATTATAGTTGTGTCAACATTTCGCGGTGATCTGTTTTTGTTTACTCCCCGTATGTTGCTTGTGTGTGGCGCGTAAGTCCACGTCTGTGCATGTGTGTTAGCTCGTTCATACGTATGAGTGTGTGTAAATATCTTTATTTGTTTTTTTTTTTTTTTTTTTTTCATCTAAACTGTGTAAGCACGCATCTATATAGGCATAGCTGTACGTTCGTATACTCCAACTTTAAGGCTCTTCCAACGTGACATGTAACAAATTCGTTCAAACGCCAAACCATGAGGCAGTATGACAGTTTAAGCGTCAGGAAGGCGAAGAAGAGCGAAAGCATAGCTAGCTATAACAGGAAAGTTGCTTCGCTAAGCAGATTTTCAAGTCGAGAAAATAAAGCAAAAGGTTTGAAAGTAGACAAATGGGACGATGAAGATAAACTACAACTGTTTGAAAAACGGGTTCTGCATAAAGGAGTTAGTGATAAGAAAAAGATACCTACTCTTTTGAGAAGAGTCCACACGAAGCCACATGCTAGTATGGGAAGACCTACCACGCTGCTCAGGAATGAAGAACGGTGTGCCAGTATGAATATGGGCAGCCCCAAGGGGTGTAACGTGTATAGAGCTCAAACAATGACAAAAAGTATGTGTCGTAGTAGCAACATGAAACGAATCGACATTTCGGAAACCGCGAGCATTATCACCAAGTTAAGCCAGAAAAAGAAAGGCACATTGAAAAAAAACACAAAGTGTGAAATACAAGAGGAAGCAAAGAACAGCCCTAAGCAGCCAGCCCAAATGGGAAGTGAAATGCCCAGGGAGACTTACCATACAGAGGTTCTTAACAAAACCCAGTGCAGTCAAACATACGCGCCTGATGTGTTAACCACAAATTTAAGGAGGGAGGAAGGAATAATTTTTCAAAACACACAGATTCCCGCTTGGGAAAGTAAAACGAGTGAATGTGACAAAATAAATTGCACACGGACTAACAGGGATAACAGTATGCCTTGCAAATTTGCAGAGTTCACCAAATGGATGGAGGAGAAGCCCGCTGCGAAAAGCAGTGATTCAACATATTTAGAAGGAATTTTTAGACCTGCTCACATGGCTAGCTTATCTTATCGTGCACAGGAGCACTTTGCAAAGAATGCCTTGTCAAGCAGTAGCGATGCAAATGGGAGAAGGGAGCCAGGGGGGAAGCATGAACGAAGAAGTAGCCATGTGGAGGTGGCCCCCACAAACAAACTGATCAGCCATTTTGCACACCATGATCATCCGCATGTTCACCCGCAAAATCACAGTTTTACGGAAAATTCAAAGGAGTGTCAAATAACAAGGGAAGACAATTATTGTGCCAATCGTAAGGAGGACAAAAGTGGATATATTCCAATGTGGGACATAAATAGCCACAAAATTATGAGCACAGATTTTTTGCTTAAGGCCAAAGGTAGTAAGCGTTCCCTCACAGAAAAAAAAAATAACCAACACACACAAAAGGAGATTATCGCGCATGAGCATCTTCCCAGTTCGGTTAGCGAAAAGGAGGATGCCAAGTTCAGCGCGCATAAGGCCAACACGTCCGATTTGGCAATGAAGAAAAAATCCCCTCGAAGGGAAATTCCTACCAATGGGTTATTCCCTAATGAGACAACCCCATTAGATATATCAATTAAGAAAGTGCTCAATTCTGAATACGAAAAAAAAGGACTCAAAAAGGACCACATCTATTCGTATGTCCTAAGTAGCACAAATAATAATCAGGCTAATTGTACCAGCCATTCGAATTATAACGAAACTAAACTCTGCGAAAATAGGTCTTTGACAGATATTATGTTTAGAGGGAAAATAGGAAATGAAGGGAAACTGCACACATATGGTGGAGACCCTTCTAAAGGAAATTACAAAGCGGAAGAGGCAACTAGGGTTGATCACACAAACGGCGTGAAAAATGTCAATTGTATAGAAAAACCCAAATGGATGAACCTCCCATATACACAGAAAATGAGTTCACGTAATAATGGAGATATTATTCATGCTAATAGAAATACCAAAATTTTGACTTCTCTCGAGTGTGATACTCATCCCCCCTTCACTTACACCAACCTCACGCATGACATTTCTAATCATAAGTTGCCTAGAAGGAATGGCAATATCCACCTGCGCAGTGTGACGAACACAAACGCGTATTTTAAGAAGAGTGCCAGGGATGTCAATAAATGTAGTACGGATAATTTCACCGGATCGAAATGTCAAAGTGGTTATATGTGGAAAAATATTAGTAACCTGCAGGGAGGGGGCGGCACACAAGTCCATCACATTGCCCGGGGTGACCAAATTAGGAGCAACATCAACGCCGAAATGGCCACTCATGGGGTTGGACCCTCCACATTGGCAACGCATAGGGTTTTACTCGCCAGCCCCACATGCAGGCCAAGTGAATCGCCCTGTTTGAGTGACAGCAGTTCTGGATTCCCCAATTTGAACAGACCTAATTTGGCGAATAGTTCGTCCGTGGCTCATCTCCATCCCAATCAAGGGAACCATGTAGAATATGTAAGTGGGATCCCTCACCAGTTCCATCCTCCCAAAATGACGCGAAAAGAAAACCAACCCATTTGCACTACCATGATGAATAAGGCAACAGCGAATGGACCCCCCCAAATTAGCCGAACTAATGAGGTTAGTCAACACACATACAACAGTGTGTTAAGTGGATCCATAAATACGACCCCAAATAATTACCAGAAGCTTAAAAAAATATATATAGATCACAGTATGAGTGAAATAAAACACGTAAACGGGTATGTTTTAAGGGAGAGCAATCCTAATGTGGAGTCCGGCATGTCAACATGCATCTCGCAGGATGGTGCAAGGACAATGGAAAAAACGAGGGTAGAGAGTTTCCTAAAATTTGAGCAGGAACCACCGATTGTTAAGAATGAAAAAAATGTAAGTGAAATGTCAGAGGGTGAAAGTGTGCACCAAGGGAAGGGCTATATTCCGAAGATGGTCTTAGCGGATGAACCCTCCGTGGGGGAGTGTAAAAACGTCAGTCCCAACGGGGCCATGTTTAATATTCGATCCTGTGCAAGTGGCAATGTGAAGGGAGACGTGTGGAAAGAGCAAGAAGTTTGTAATAGTAATCCCTTCACTCTTAAAGACAACCACCATTCTGAAGATAAAAGCAAACGAATAGACATGGTAGTTTATCCTAATGGTACTCTTAACAATGTTACCACAAAAAACAAACAGGGACAAAGCAGTCATGGTGAAAATGTGAATATCGTTAAGCAGGCACCAAGACAGGGACAGGTAACAAGCGACCCATTATATAAAATTCCACTGCGAAATAAATTCATCAGTGCGAGTAGCACCAGGGTGATGCCCAACAGCCAAGTGCGCCATAGCAACAATGTGTTCCTCCAGCCTCCAACGTACAGAGGTGTCTGTAAGAGCGCATTGGGCAATCAAGCCAGTTTGTCTATGTCTGGTATAGAAAAGGATGGTACAGTAGCTGGGGGTAGTTTTGAAAGAAAGGCGGAAAAGGGGTCCCTTCCAAATGGACTACCTCCAAACAGCACAGTTAAATCGGCCCCAGAAAAATATTTAACCAACACGCGCACACTACTAAGTAGCAAAAGAGTCGATAATGCTACCCTGCCCTTGCTGAGTAACGGCACTGATATAAACGTCATGAAAAATCATCCCTCTGGGAAGACGCAACACAGGGTAAGGGAATATATGCAGGAAGGAGTAACTTCCCCGTACGAAGCGGGAACAACGTTGATCGATTTGAATGTGACAAAGGAGATCCCCAACCGCAATGGTTTGCCCGTTTGTAAATCGATTAGCAACAGTGACATATACAACTACTTAAAGAACAAGCACCCACAAACTCTGACTCATTTTCACCGCACAGTGTCATACAGGAATCAGAGCTTGAAAAAGGAGAAGTCCCTTACGGTTTTGTCGCAGAAGGGGGATATCAATGCGGTTGGCGGTTCGAGTGCAAAGGCGAAAGTGTTGGACGGCGCCAAATGTTGGGAACACGCAAAAGCGAGGGAACATATGTTGGACGCTGCGTTCGAATTAGACTCAAATCACAGCGTAAAAAAGGCAGTTGTGATTGGCTGCAACTACATGAGGGAGGCAGAAGGGGACAGGCTCTACGGAGCAGTTAACGATGCATACATTTTCAGCAGAGTGTTAGTTAAGTACTTTGATTTTAAACCCGAAAATATTTTGTTGCTAACGGATAGCTTACCTTCAAATGCGTATATATATGAAGATTTTGACATAAATAAAAAAAAGTACATAAGGGAAGGAGGTAGCCAAAAGACAGAAAAAGAGGAAGAAAAAATAACAAGAAAAAATTTATTTCATTTGTTCAATACGAGCAGCATAGGTAATCATGAAAAACAGGGTGTAGAAATAGAGAAGTGCAATTCGTGCAAAAATTTTGCTATTAAAAATGTCGATTTTTCATCCGAAGGTATCAGCTTGCATTTGTGGCCTACAAGGATAAACATTTTAAAGGCTGTAAATTGGCTAGTCAGAGACTCCGTACCATTTGGTTCATACGTTTTTTATTTTGCTGGGAAGAGTGTGCAAGTAGATAACATGAGTGGATGGGAAGGGGAAGGGTACGATGAAGCTTTTCTTTGTTCCGATCCCTTTAACCGCATGGTAGAACAGAACGTATTGACAGCTATTCAGTTGAAAGATTTATTGTTAAGTATAAATGCCAATGCCCAAATGACTATCGTTTTGGATTGCTCTGGTTGCCAAACCATTTTAGACCCAGCTGGGACAGAGAATTCTCTGTCTTATATAAAAGGTTGTAAGAAGAAGGGCATATGGCCAATTACGAACCCTACCAATAAGGTACACAAAGCTATCTACGATGTGACCATAATGAATAATGCCAGCATGAAAAAATACTTTTGTAAATCGAGGTACCATCAATTGATAGAAGTAGAATCCACAGCTGCTATGATTGACCCTCTGCTTCAGTCCAGTTCGTCTTTGCCCATTCCGCCCAAGGCTTACTGCTTCTGTGCAGCTACATGGGAACAAATTTCCATAGAGGGGTTATTCCCCCTTATGGAGTTTGCTCGTGTTACGCAGATTAAGGGGGTTGATACATTTGTCCACACGAAGGGGAAGAACAAAGGCTGCAAAAAAAAAGGCCATGTGAAGGGAAAAACGGGTGGAGAAGATCCATCTCGAAAGACAGGAGAACATTCAGCCAAGAAAAGTGTCTACGAGAAAAATTTCAGCTTCTCGCTAAATGTGGTGAGGATGTTTTTTAACAGTAATAACGCGGGAGGTAATAGCGGTAACGAACATACACAGGGGGCGACTTCCCTTGAGGGGAAGCAAAAGAACGCGCGCAAGGACGAATGCGGTAGTGAAGCTGTAACGGAGGAGCATGCGTGCGGCGAAACGGTCATGAACAGCAACCACAGCGACTGTTCCGAGGATGTCTCGTGCAGTGCAGAAGGAAGCGATGTGGAGGAGGAAAATGACTACGTACTCGTCAGCCACGGAGTATTCACATACTGCCTAGTTGAAGCCATTATCGAATTTAAAGAATCACAATTGAAAAATAACATTTCTGAAAGAAAAAATCAACCACTCCTACCAATGACTTTAAAAAACTTAATAATGCTTGTGAAGAAAAAAGTGGAAAATGTAAAAAATGAAAAATTAAAAAAATTAAATCAAAAACCAGAATTTACCATCCACCCAGGAGCTAATGCTAACAGTAAAAATTATTTTATCCATTATTCCAAAAATATACAATTTCAAAATTATAATTTTAATTTTATAAATTCTGACCTGTCTCCTTTTTTAAATGTTAACAAGGCGTGGGAAGAAATCAATAGAAACACCCTGAAGAGTAGGAAGTCCCTGTCCGTCACGTCCACTCTGATTAATTTGGCATCTTCCAATTATGCTAGCCAGACAAATGAGCAAATGAAAAGTTGCTACTCAATGAGGTATTAAAAGGGCGCAAAGGGGGGGGGGGGTGTAATGCATGCGCATACGTGTGTATGGGTTATAGCCCGTTGGAACGACACACGGGTGTTTGCCCTAATTAGGTAGACCATACATTTTGATCATTTTCAATTCCGCCTTTTTCAAGACGAGCGACGAGCGCGTATGTTTATACCCTTTTTGTTGACCACTCCTTTTAACCCTTTTTTTTTAATCATTTCAAATGAACAAGTCCATATCGATGGGCACCCCTTTTGAAATGTGCACAACGGTGAGCGGCAAAATGGGAATAAATATTGACCCAGTTGATAAAAGGAAACGTTTTTTTTTTTTTTTTTTTGTCACTTTACTATTTAAGCTGTTTGGTCATTTGGCGAATTCACCCGATTGTGAGACGCCCCACTGTCTATGCGCACGCAACATTGGTGCAGCATGGTGACACCTGTCATCGGTTCACCAAATTTACCCCAAAATTGGCTCATCAAAATATGGTGATAAGACGGAAAGACAAATAAGTGCATTTCCCACATAGGGTTAAAACTCTTACAATTACAACGTTGTGTTTTCCCCTTAGCAAAAGCAGCTTTATGTAAAATATACGAATTGTTAGCAAAACAATTTTGTCCAGGACATACTTGTAAAAGGATCGATTGCGTTAACCATAAAGGGGTTGTGCAAGCATTGTTTGAAAACAGCTCGCCCTATAAATGGAAGGGAAAACTATATACACCACGTTACATATATATGAGCGTAATTGTCATGTGTGTCCACAAAGGGGGTAACATTGTGCAAAGTAACAAATTCGCGCAAAGGATCATTATGTGCAGGCGGTAATCAAAATGGTCAACTTGTTTCCGCTCCGGCCTGGTTGTTTACATAAAAAATGGGGTGTGCCTATAACTTATTTGGAGTAGAAGTATAGCGACAATGTGTTCTGTTGATGGAAGAAGCATACGTCTAATTAGTCATGGCTGCGGGGGAGAAGGCCATATCTTATCGCCTTCATCAAAAAAAAAAAAAAAAAAACTTATTTTTGGACGTTTCCCGTCAGGGGTTGCTCGTAATCAGTTTTGCGCTAACAATTAGCTAATAAGTTAAAAACAGATGAAACGCGCATTTTGAATGTTTCTCCAGAGAACATTCATGTGCCTAGCGCATTTTGCATAAGTATTTAAAAGTTTTTTTTTTTCTGTTCTTAAAATTGTGCTTTCTTTTTTTTTTTGTTGAACTACAATTTTTACGTGAACGATCCAGCGCGCCTTTGGGAAAGACGCATCCGCGAAAAGGCACCATACGCAAAAACAGGCTAACAGGAACAGTTTTAAAAAAAAAAAAAAAAACACTGCCTTACGTGGGCGCTACTCCATTCTTGCTCTATCACAGATAGGCATAAAAATCCATTTCTCGGCAAAAATATAGAGAACAAAAAAGAAGAAAAAGAAAAATTCGCAAGTGGTGAAATGTACTCTCTTAATAAGGAAAAATCCTGAGGGTAGTTTTCTAAAAAAAAAAAAAAAATGCTCACATTTTTATTAGAATACCCCACTTGGGAAACCAATCATCCTGAGCTCAAGTACATTTCGCGTCTACGCAGTTAGTTCAGAATAACGCGTCATACAAGTGCATGTAACATGTGCTCAGTGATTACGTACGTAACATAATTCATGCGAAATATCGCTAACTTTCGCGCAGGAAGCTAACCAAGTTGCGTCCAGTAAGAAACTCCACGAAGGCGCACAGCATTGTTCGGTAGCTGCCCCCCCCTCGACTCCTGATATGCAGTGATAGTTCATGCCTCCTCCTTCACATTGGATATGAAGTTGGTCTTTTTATGGAAACGCAGAATATACCTAATCGCCAGTTGAGCAGCTTTCAACTCGGGGAGAGAAGAATTGTAAAGTATACTCCACATACATAGACTGTATTTTGACGGCGGAAAAAAGGCAGTGAACAGTCGTCCACATGAAGAGTAGTAATTCGAAGAGACGACTGAAAAGCTCGAAGTAGTAGTGTATTCTCTTAAAGGGCGGCATACCTATAGTTGAAGAAAACGCGCCAGGTAGCCTCTCCCCCCGTTAAGCGGCCCTTGGAAGCGCTGACCACAGTGATAATACACTTCACGGGGAAGGCACGAAATATTGCCAAAAAAAAAAAAAAAAAAAAAAAAAG